TGTCTTGTTGTCATCCTTTAAATCCTTTTGTTTGAGTTTTAGAATGTGTTGGGCTTGGTTGTTACAGGTTGGTAGAGCTTTAGCTCCCATTGTTGTTGCCCAGTTTTTGAATGGTCCGCTCGAGCGGGGTTTACACACTTCCAGTATTTCGTGCCCCCACAAAACTTCTGCAGGTGTGTTTTCTACGCTCGAGCGGGTTTCTTGCGCTCGAGCGGGTCGCGTTCGAGCAGGTTTGTTGACGCTCGAGTGGGTAGTTCTTTTTCTGAAAAGTTCTAGGAGGTGAAAATCTACGCTCGAGCGAAATGGTTCTTCGCGCTTGAGCGGATGTGTTTTGCTTTTGTTTCTTGGTGCTCGAGCGGGCCTTCTTGCTCTCGAGCGTGACCAGATTTTTGTACTTGACGCTCGAGCGTTCTATTCTCCGCTCGAGTGGGTCATACCTATATGAGTCGTCCGCTAGGTAATTTTAAATCACTTTTTACGTTTCCTTTCTCTCTCTTACTTTCCCAAAATCGATTTTGAGAGCCTCTCTCTCTAGGACCTCCCTTCTCTCTAGGGTTTGATCTAGTTAGAGTGTCTCCCTATCCTTCGGCCTTTGTAAAAAGTGTGTTGATCGTTAAGGGCTATATTTTGATCCAAGAATTTCGGGATTTGGAGCATCTTCGTTTCCTTCATCTTCTTCGTTGGGCTTCATCTTTGAGGTAGGGATTCCTACTCATCTTTATAGGCTTTGACCTAGATTGTGAGCTTTGTATAAATGGTTTTGGATTTTGGAAGTTAGGGTTTCAAATGTGTGATTTTGAAAAGAGGGGTTTTGTTTATTTGACTCATCCTTGTGTGTTTTGGGTCTAAATTAGAGATTGTTGATGTTGTTAGTATTTTTTGGACCCGTGGGGTCAAGCTTGAGAAAGGGGGGGAGAAAGCCCTAAATTGTGCATAAATTAATTAGTATAATTAATTTGGGAAAGTTATGGATTTGGTAAATTGAGTTGAATATGATGATAGTGGTTCATTATGAGATGGAATAGTGGAGTCGGATTAATAGATCGTTCAGTTTGAAAATACGGATAATTTATCTGTTGGTGCTTTTACTATCTGTTTAGCAATAATTGCCTTGGGCTACCGGTGGAGGGTAGTTTTGATTGTTGTAGACAATGCATGATGATTAGGCAAACTAAAACTAATCTATTGGATGTGTCATCGAATATGACGGTTGAAAGAATACATTAATTTTATGTATTGATTGATTGAACTTGTATATGATAATTGTTTATAACATTGCTTTGTGTGGGAGGAGATGGGGGATGTACTCCATGGTTTATTGGAAGATGGGGGATGGACCTCTAAACCGAAAATGGTTTGACATTGATACAGCACTACAATGTGTATCAGATGTGAAGTATAGAAGTGTTTCTATGTTTATTTGATATAGCACTAAAATGTATATCATTTAGAAATTATGGAAGTGTTTTGTTTGATTTGATACAGCACTAAAATGTGTATCATTTGTATTGACTGATTGAACTTGTATATAATAACTGCTTATGTACATTGCTTTGTGTGAGAGGAGATGGGGGATGTACTCCACGGTTTATTGGAAGATGGAGGATGAACCTCTAAACCGGAAATGGTTCGACATTGATATAGCACTACAATGTGTATCAGATGTGAAGTATAGAAGTGTTTCTATGTTTATTTGATATAGCACTAAAGCACTAAAATGTATATCATTTAGAAAGGATGGAAATGTCTTGTTTGACTGTGTTACAACACCAAAATGTGTATCTATTATGAAATATGAAATGTTTAAAATGAGTTATTATCTCACCTGAAATAGAAGTACCGTAGCCATGAGATGTGATCCCATTTAAAATGGTTGGCCTAGTTCTGAATTGTAATTATGAATCGAGAATTTGATAGGAAATGGAAACTGGAATAGAACATGGACATATTAGTCATGGGGTTGAATAGTGTTATAAGTTGTGGTGTAAGAGTTAAACATTTAACAATTGCAGACATTTTAGTTATCGTTCATATTATGTTTAGCATATCTCTACTGGGCGTTAGCTCACCCTATATGGGACATCATTTTCAGGTTCAGGTATTATGCTGCATACGAGATCTTAGCTTGGATGGTAGAGAGAGTTGAAGACTCTTCATTTGTTGATTTTGTTGTACTACGTGCATATCAAGCCAAGGGCTTATTCTGTATTCTGAGCTAGTACTTTTCTTTGTAATCCAAGTGTTGACTTGGAAAGCTGTAAGCCCATAGGCATATACTTGATGTTAACCTGTAATACATCTGTAGGAAGTACTCTGATGGAAAGTAATTATGCTTATTTCTCTTATTTCTTTTATATTGTTGCATGTCAAGAATGATGGATTTTATGTATTATTTTGAGGGCGTTACAGTACGAATATTTATATTTCAAAAAAATTCCTGGGTAAATTACAATTTGCACTTTTGCACCAAATTCCACTTTGGCTCTTATACATGAAATCATGACAATCAAGTCATTACACTTCTAATCAAATCTTTTGGTACACATGAAATCGTGACAGTCAATCCTTACATTTTTAGTCAAGTATCAATATTCCCTTTTTGTTATTCTAACATATAAATCTTTAATGGAGGTCAGTAATGAGCCAAGCATATGACTACAAAATAAGGGCAAAGGGGGAAAATCACCCACATTTCCCGCCTATACACTTTTATACACTTCCCAAAATTTACATCATATTTTGTCTATATTCGACTAAAATAAAATTATGAACCATTAAAGAGACAAATTAGGGGTTTTTTAAAAAAAATTGAAATCACGAAACTCTGTTTTTCACAACAACACAGTCTTCTACCTATTGCTCTTCCCTTTTCTTTGATTTCTCTGCTACCTTTATTTATTTCAAAAGAGTTCTATTTTCTTTACTCTCTGTCTTAATTCTCAACACAAGAATATATATATATTGTATTATATAACTCTTACATGTTTATCACGTAGGACAAAGTATGTGTTGGTGGAAAATAAGGATAATTTTCTTCTCTTGTCCTCATTTTATAGCCAAATACTTATCATAAGACTGAATTAATGTTAAAGACTTAAACAATGGAGTAACAAAAGAGGACATTGACAATTGACCAGAAGTGCAGGGGGTTGGTTGACATGATTTCACATGTAGGGACCAAAGTGGGATTTGACCAGAAGTACAAGGATTAACTGTCACAATTTCATGTGTAGATATCAAAGTGAAATTTAGTGCAAAGTGTAGGGATGCAAAGTGTAATTTACCGGTGAATTTTTGTGATTTTCACTATTAATCCTAACAAAATTAGACAAACTTTTCATTGGCGAATTGAAAATAGAATAGTTTGAAATTATTTATCCAAAAAAAAAAAAGAGAGGAACAATTTGAAATTAAAATTGGTTTGTTCACCCCTCTCGGCCGAAAATCTATTGACTCCAATATTTCATAATTATGTCTTATATGGTCATTACCAAATTTACATTATATTTTCTTCCTCGTGATTTGAGATTAGAACATTTTAGCTCTCTCTATTGTTCAAATATAGTTAGAAAACCCTATGTAATTTTGAACCAAAATATAACCGTTAGCTTCGTTAATTATAAATGTAAAATGATTGTAATAACATTAAATCTTATGTCTTTTTTTATATATATTTTCTTTTTTTCCTATCTCATACACATAATTTATAATTTCTAACATCAATTAATTAAAATCATAATCAATCATAAATTGTTAATTATTTATTATAATTCCTAATTTTTTACTCTAGTTTTAATTTAATTATATTTTAAATCAAAAGTAATCGTTAAATCCTTAATTATTTATTATAATTCCTATTTTTATCTAATTCTAATTTAATTATAGTTTAGATCACAATTAATCATACATCCTTAATTATTTATTGTAATTCCTAACATCTTAATCTAATTTTAATTTACTTATATCTTAGATCAATCCTTAATAATTATTTATTTTATATTTTAATTTAATTATATTTTAAATCACTCTTTAATTATATTTTACATTTTAGATCAATTCATTATTATATATTTATTTTATTTTAATTACATCTTAATTTAATTTTAGGTTTGGAGAAGATCGAGATAAAATTATCTTTTTATTGTGTTAATTTCAATTTATTTTTTTAGAAAATCAAGTCATTTTAAAAAACAGTGTGTGTGATACACCTTCCGTTACTTTGGATGGAAAAATTAACAGTTGTATTTTAGACCAAAACCATAGAGCCTTTCTGACTATATAAAATGAATTGTCTTTAATCCAATTAGTTGATCAAACATAGTTTAGAACCTGTGCATTTAAGTTTGAGAATAAGAATTGAAGATTACAGTAAACAGAAGTTACCTTTATTTAAAGAAATTGTAGAATACATTCACCAAATCATGAATTGAGATAAGCTTGCAAGAGATCTGTTTGTCCACAACAACCAAAATTAATGAAAAGATGCATTTTTATGAGATAAGCTTGCAATCTATCTCGAGCCAAAAACATATGTGGGAGCATTTGGTGAAATGTATTTCCACATACTACCTAGATATCACCTAAAAATACATATATGGTTCGATATCACTAGAATTGAGCAAGTCCAAAATGCTCACGAATCTATTACACAAACCTAGAAAAATGAGCTTGAAATAATGCATAAATAGAATCTCACTACATGAATATTGTTGCAGTAGAAGACAACAAAATTAAGAGTTATTATGTTAACAATCACAATAAGAGAGTTTTTGTTATTTCTTGAGCATATGAGTATTTTTTATTAATATAGATTTTATTTTGCTAATCAAAAAATCAAGTTATTTGATCTTTGATGTCAAAGAAGATAAGCCATAATTCTATAACTTTTGCTCCACGTTATATGGATTCTCAACCCCCTATTGTACTCATGTCCATATATTAAGATGTAAGGAAGAAGTCAAAAAAATTATTAGAAGGCTGATAAGTGTAGCAAAACGAGATTAAAAAAAAAAAAAGTGTATCAAACAAAATAAATTTAACTTTTATAAAAGAGAAATTTACTTACATTAGTTATTAAACAATCACAAGAAAAATGAATAAATGTAGGAAAAATTGGTCAACAGTCCCGCTCATTGATTGTTTTGTGGCAGAGATCCAAATTTTGGTTTTTCTTAGTTACAAGCTGACATGCACAACACTTTCTCATTTGCAAGTCTAAACATTTTATGGCAAAGAATTTTTTTGACATATTTACCTTTTTATGTGTAGTGTTCATAAAATTTTAAGATGTTATAACTTTAACTACATATATCAATTTTTAATAAAATCATATTTTTGGGTATGTTTGGTCTGTGTTTGTAAAGTAATTTTTGAGATAAAAAGTACGAAAACTTGTTTGGTTTGTCTTTTTTCAGAAATGATTTTGGAAAATTATTTTGGGGAGAGAGTTTTAAAAAAAGTGATTGATTTGATATGTATGAGAGAGAGAGTGTGTGATTTTGGAAAGTAGATAACCAAACAAAATTTTGAGATTTTTTTTGAAAAAATTTGTTTGGTTTGATTACTCTTGAAAATTTGTTTGTAGAGAATTTTTCCCAAAATTTTTTCTGAAAAACAAACCAATTGTGTTTGTCTTTTCAAGATCTTCAAAAAAAAGATCAATATTAAAAATAAAAAATAAATTTAAAAAAAAAACAACAACAACTAAACCTATAGAAAAATAATGAATAGATCTATTTCGAAGCATGTCAAGGCCAAGGAAATTCATGACAATGCAACTATGTAGTATCATAAAAATTATAGATCAATACCATAGAATTGCAATTTTCCCCACCATGGACTAAATGACATGATTTTTTAATGAAATTGTGAAATTCCTTGGCCCAGTATTCTAACTCATGCTCTAGTTGAATCCTTTCATTAATTCTGACTAGTAAGAGAACTCTGTTGATCAACTTTGGTTGGTAAAAAATCTTAACTATGAGATCCAGTTGAAATTTCAACATGAGACAAATCATTCCTTTTAAAGATGCAAGTCTGCAGAATAAAAAAAAAATGATACTACTGAGATTCCAAGATTTTAGCACCGTGAGCAATGTTAGGCATACAAAAAGTTTACCAAAGATTTAACCACAAGAAGGGGTGAGATCCACCCTCATGTGAAACCCATCTAATGTGAATATTTTGTAAAAAATTAAGTAAAATATTTAGCGTTTCTAACATTTTAAATTTGGATATAGAGTGACAGGAGTACGAGCATTGATCGAGTTGGTGGATTAATCGGGACTAGCAAGACGGCTCATGGAAAGATTTGGGATAAGTTTGGGGCGAGAGAAAAAGACGTATAAAGTGTGGATCTCAGCTCTCAAAATTTAAAGGAGATGAATTTTCTCTGGTTCATAATTTGAATTGTATGGAACTAGTCTAGATTGTGAAGTGCATCAAGTGTATTGGTTCAATTATTCGAATAGTTCATTTTGTTCGACACTTCTTATATCATTTTTTTTTTTTAAATAATTAAGTTGATCCGATAATCGTAATTTATTCAATTTATCGTGTTTGTCAACAAAAAAATGGACAACAATTGTGTTTTTAAAATACTTCATTTGTTTTTTTTATTTATTCATTACAAAAGCAAAAAAAAATAATTATCGAATCGATGTAATTTTTTGTATGGGTAATGTACATGAAGTACCTAATAAAATGAATGGTTCGACGTTGAGATGGGATCCGTAGTC